CTAAATGCAGTACTTTTTTCAACAAAAAAAATCTCGTCCATTGACAACTTTGTTTTTATTTTTTTCTTCACTGTGTTAAAAATGAAGAAATTTTTTTTTAATAACTTTTTTATTTGAAAACGTATCGATTTAAAATTTGGACAAAATGTAGATCTTACTAATGACAATTAATCCATGAAAATTTTGTTTAGATTTTAACGTACAGGGGGCGCTGGTGATAATTTAGTTTAAAATTTAACCATTTTTAAAGGGTAAATAATCGAAGAAGCAACTTTGTTTTATAAATTTGATATATTAATTTTTTTATGCAAATGCTGTTTCTGTGGCCAGGATCAGTTTTGAATTAGCAGTAGCAGTATTCATAAATTTATGTTTAGTTTAGTGTTTTTGTCATTTTTATACAATTATTGTTGTATCTTTTATTATTAATTAAGTATAGCATATGTTATGCTGCATAACACATAAATGACTTTTAATATACAGGGTGTTTCATGTACGTAGTCCGTTAGAAGTTTCTAGGGAATCGCGAAAGACATCGATTTAAAATTTTAATAGCGTAAATTATTCGCTTTACACTTTTTTCCTAAATTATTTTGATCAAAATAATACCTGTTTTACCGGAAATGCCTTTATCTTTACTATTTTAAACAGGCACCTCATATATTTTTAAATTTTTTAAATTCTGAGTAAAATGGCTATACCATATCCTATACCTAAAGTCAATATTTTTTGAGTTATTAATTTTTCAATCAAATGCTTTAATTAAGTTTAAACAATGACAGATTTGGTGGTAACCATGGATACTCTCACATAGTGTTGTAAAAAACGTTTTTTTTCAGTTGAACAAAAACAAAAGTTGTTTTTTTTTCATCCCCACCCACGTATGATAAAAGGGCGCCTCGCTGTCGGCAATGCTGACTCAGCATATCGTATAGTCTATACGGTATTATAATAGAAGAGTTAAGACCTGGTAGAAATGCCAAAAAGAGAAGGCTCAGGGCGAAAGCCAACAACGTTAAACAATTTGTTTAAGAATATTACTAATGGTAAGTAAGAAACTATAATTAGTATTTAATATTCTTCTAGTGACAGAATGTGCCAAAAATTCTTTCCTCAGCAGTGGCATTTCGAAAATCCTGTCACTTAATATAATTTGAGTATTTTTGACCATTTTTTTTGAAAAAAAAACCATTTTTTTTTGAAAAAAAACAAGGACCTCTGTTTTTTTTTAGTGACAACACTACTCTCACATTAAACCACATGTAGAATTTCAAAGGTTTGTTGATACAAAATAGTATTGAAATTATTAGAAATTTTCAAATGGCTATAAAATATTAACTTTAGAAAACAGTTATTATAATTTTATGATTTTTGTCAAAATGTCAGAAATATTAATCAAAATTTGTGGTATAAAAATATAAACTGAAGATATTTGAAAGTAAAGTATTTTAGAATGGGCATTGAAAAAGTATTATATAATGGAATGGAAAAATGGTAAAATTAATATAGACTAAGCGGTACCAATTCTTAAGAACTGTTTTTGCTAGTTATAACATAGTGTAAAATAAATTAATAAAAAAAATATATAAATAAATCAATATAAATACCAATCGAAAGATTTTTTAATGTTCCATTTGATTATGTTATGTTATGTTTTACATTTATAATAAAAACGTTATTATTGTTTGAAATTTGCCTAATTTCAAGTGTTTTTTCTCAAGGTATTTGTTGAAAAACCTTTAAAAAATTAAATTATTTAAACAATGTTTTAATATTAAATGCATGTCAGCAAACATAATAACAAAAAAATTAGAGGCTATTTTTGATTAACGAAAAAAATTAATATCTTGAAAACTATTGACTTTAGGTATAGTCTAAATCAAATTGGATATGCTATTAAAATTGTAAGTCCATATCGTTTACGTTTCTCCAGAAACACCCTGTATAGCATTATATTAAATATAAAAAAATGCAAAATATCTAAATACAAAAAATCGAAAAACAACTGACTAAAAATTATGGATGTATCTAATTATAATTTATTTATGGGGTAAATATTACTTTCCTTAGTTTGGAATTAAAATTGAAACTTGCTTATCGAGTAAAAAATAAATTGAAGCTTGGTTGTGGAGCAAAAAATAAAATTAAAGTAAGTTATAATTTTTTACTTGCTGACACTTTTTATAATTTTTATTTAGTTTATTCATTTTAATAAATTAATGTTTTGAGTTTATAGTACACAATCAGTCATTTGCAACTTATAAACTGAACTGTCAAATTATCTTTCATGCTTCCATGCTTCCAACCATAGAAAAGTCTATGAAGTCTATGATGCCTACTATGATCAAAATTAGTAATCTTGAAAAAATTTAAAATTTATAAATAAAACTAATTTTAGCTCCATCTATGGCGATTTATTTAAATTAATATGTAAGAATTGTATGTTATATATAATATATTTTATTTAATATAATATATATTATATTATAAGGTATAATATATAATACTAGGGTGTGCCAAAAAAACTCGATATTTTTTTTTCTTGCTCTCCACCCAAAATATCGTAGAATATGTCCGAACAAATATCCTGTTAAAAGCGGAGATCATAATTTCAATTTTAAGAGGTCCTTCATCAAATCTGAAGTTTTGCCGCTTAAATAGCACAGAAAACTGACTTTTTTACCTTATTTATTCTTGCAACCTAGGAAGAAATTTTGTTTTCATAAAATCCATGACCAAATCTTACAAAGCATTAAATTTGGACGAAAAAAATCTTATTAAGCCGAATTTCTATTTTCAATATTTTTTACAGAGCTTTAAATTTAAAATTTTATGTTTTTTGCCTTTTTCAGCTAATTTAGCTAATAGTTTAAAACTATTGAAGTTAGACGAAAAAGTCAAGTCTGATGGACCACAAAAAAGTTTTAGGCGAATTTTTTGTATCGTCAATATTCTAAAAGTTACAGGCGTATAAAGTCATCATTTTTGTATTATTAACTTTAAATTTAAAGCTCTGTAAATAAAATGAAAATAGAAATTCGGCTTAATAAGATTTTTTTGTCCAAATTCAATGCTTTGTAAGAATTAGTCATGGATTTTATGAAAAAAAAATTCTTCCTAGGTTGCAAGAATAAATAAGGTAAAAAAGTCAGTTTTCTGCGTTATTTAAGCGGCAAAACTTCAGATTCGATGAAGGACCTCTTAAAATTGAAATTATGAACTCCGCTTTTAACAGAATATTTGTTCGGACATATTCTACGATATTTTGAGTGAAGAGCAAGAAAAAAAAATATCGAGTTTTTTTGGCACACCCTAATATAATACATTGGGCCATATGCAGAAACGTTGATTTTCGCATATACACTGATTTCAGTTTGAACCAATTTGGCAACATAGCAAATTTTGACTGTAAAGATTTGTTAGGTTATCTTACGTATACTTAAATATGTGTTTATTTAATAAACTTTATTATCATATAAGAGTAATACATTTCTAAAATGTATATTAAATATACACATAAATACATTTACTGACTAGGGGCCGTATGCAGAAACGTTGATTTATATATTATATCAACTGATTTAGCATAACAGTGGATATATTTTTTTGCACGACATGGCAACGTAGTAATTTTCTTTAAAAACTGTTGTTTTATAAAATAAATTGGGTAATTATCTTTTAACGTTTATATTTTCCCTAAAAAGTCGATTTCTATATATTGAAATTTTAAATTAGACATAAAAGAATTAAAATTTCATCAAGATTTATTTGACATTTGTGATATTTGCTTTTAACCATAGAAAATAATTTCGCTAATATAAGTCATGGTTTACTAGAATTGTTTTTTGGCCAATAAAATCATCATAAATGTAAATTGGTTGATATAATTTATATCAGTCGTTAACGACTGATTTAAAATATGTATATGGTTTGTAAATATTTATGAAAAAATAAATTCAGAAGGTAAACATACCTATAACAGTTAGGGTGACAATTTGGGATGTAATAAACTGTTTTTTATATTTAACTAACTTGGATTTATTTGACAAAATATATGTATTTGTATAAATCGACTTTACTCTCTTAATTCTTGACAAACTCTGTTTTAGCTACGGCCGATTTTTAAAAAGCATTTCTCTGCCTGCCCCTTTTGTCGGTTAAAGGATTTTTATAAAATTTGGCGAAAGCAGTTTTAATTTCAAAACAAGTTGTAAAACAAACCTATGGATTATACAATGTCTTAAATTTTAACAATAAAAAATTGGTAAAATTAAGATAAAAGTATTTAGTAATCAATTAACTAGCTTATATAATAAGAAAACTATCTAATACTAACTATATAACAAAAAGAAGTTAAAATTAGACGTAAGACTAAAATTAAAAAAATGTAAGAATTAATATTTAAATTAGATTGAATGCTTATAATTTAAAATTAAAATGTTTCTATGTAGATCACTAATTATAATTATTAACTAAATTGACTTTACTTAACTACACTCACTTATTTAATCGTCACTCAAAAGTTCGTTTTTTTAACACTTAAACGGTCCTACGGTAAAGGAAGTCGCGGGTGCTGTTGGGGAAAGTGATCTTCGTGCTCTAGGGGTTAGTCTGTGAGATTTTTCTTTTTCTGGGTTTTGTTGGTAACTTCTTCCTGTGTAACTCATCATCATCATAGTCGTCTTGGTATCTTAATATGCTCATTTGCATCGGTGGGTGTGCGGTACGATTTTGTTAATGGATGTTCTTACTGTTTATACATATTTCCATGAAACTGCCACATCCCGATTTATTTGTTGTAAACCATCTAGTCATCCAAGTTGGACAATTCCTGCAGCAGCAGCAGCAGCAGAGGATTATTAAGGCTACTACACTAATTAGTAAAGCACCAAAGGTTAAGTTATACCAATGAAAATGTTTGGTTATTGAATTCTTTTCGAGATTGTCTTGTAGGATTCCGTCCATTTGTTCTAATTGGTGAGACACGCGATTCGTTCAAATCATGGTTTATAAGTACAATAAGGAACAAAATTGGAATAATTTCTGGTTAGATTTGCAGTGGTGATCAACGTCATGGTTGGCGAATAACATCGGCATTTGGCCTGGAGCGTCAATACGCCGATGTTCTTTACTTCTACCTCCGTGGGTAAGGAGTTCTTGGAGTCGCAACCAATTGAAACCGAAACAGGAGAACTAAGGACAAACAACCACGAATTTTCCGATAGTGGGTGCCAAAGTTCTAAGTGGGCTTTAACTGTTTTAGTGGAACAATCTTGAGGAATTTTATCCACAAAATGTGTCCGTAGTTTTACTTCACACATTGGTTTGTCGGAGGTGTCTTGTATTGTCACACCATTGCATAAATAGTCCTTTGAGGATAATTTCGTACAATCATCCAGATTCCTCAAATAACTGTATTTCGTACGAGTAGTGCTCATTATGAGGAAGGGTTGTGTTGGGTTTATGAAGGTAAAGGTATCATTATGGGAAAGAGGTAGCGGTTTGAGTTGGAATATATTATAAAGTTGTTCTTGTACTAAGGGTAATTTGATAGCATAAATTAACAATTCGTCATTATACGATACGGATAATTCGCATAACGTAAAATATTTGTAGATGTTGTTATAATTATCAAGTCAAATAAGAAATTCAATATCAGCTTTTAGTATAATTTTTTGGATTTATTACGGAAGGGTGGAGGATATTTTGCTTAGAGAATGGAATTCCCATTATAATTATATCAAATTCCTCATTTATTTCGCTAGTTAATTGGAGCAATAAGTTAACATGTTCGGTTTTTTTTCTATTATATTAATAAAATTAATTTGATTTAAAACTGTCTTACTAAATGAGTTAAATTTATTGATGTTATCATTTAATCTTGTTTTAACTGGAAACTGCGCTTGATAATATATAAATTTGTTGTTTCATAAACATTTGCGTGTCTTGATGTTGATATGTTAATATTTTAATGGAGTCTGAATAATACTCAGCGTCATCAGCATTCGGATTTCCGAACAACCATTTAAAATCATACGAGGCGCCAACGAAAATACCTCGTTTGTTTCTTAAATTTTCGAAATTATGACCAAATGTTCAATGGTTTCAAATTTTTCTCTTAATTTTCTGATTTGTAATTTTATTAACTTAAAAGATTCGGTACAGTGAAATGAATGAATTTTTTGTTCGACTATTTGTGAACAAATAGAGCCTGATTTAAGGTAAAGCAACGAAAAGCATTTTTTTATAATAAATAAACTTATATTGGTATAACTTAATAAGGTAAATTTGTCGATAATTAATTTAGCTAACCCGAAATTGTTATATATTCCTGATTTAGATTCTATAGGCTTAATTAAAAATATTTCTGTTTTGACTAATTGAAACTGAATAGGGAATTATTAGGAAAAGGAAATAAAAAGGAATTCGTTTAGTTTTCAGAATCAGGACCAGGATTTGTTTCTTCCTCGGTATTTTTTTCTAAAACATAGGGTTTTGTGTTATTTGTTACGGTCTGTTTTGTATTTTCACCACTAAAGTTTTATTTTTATTGATTTTAATTATAGTGTAAGGTTCTTTATATTTAATCGAAAGTTTAGTGCTGATTGCCTTTTGAATAGATTTATTAATAACATAAATTTTATCACCTACTTTATATTCAATGTCGTTAATCCTTTTATCACAGTAAGCTTTACTCTTAATTTTTGATTTAGTTAGGTTATTTAGAGCGATCTCGAATGAATTATTTAAACGGAGTTTAAGTTGCGATACGTAGTCATCATACGTATATTTAAACTCAGGTTTCGCGGTTAATGTAGACGGTATTGATGGTTTATTACCGTATAGAAGTTCAAAGGGACTATAGTCCATAGAAGAGTATATATTTGTGTTGTGGCTGAACATTGTAGAAGGGATATATTCGTCCCAGTCTGATTGCATTTTATTGATTTAAGTAATCTTTTAAAACCGCGTGACTACGTTTTAAGGAACCATTGGTTTGCGGGTGATAAACAAATGCGAATATGTGTCTTATTTTAAATAATTTGTTAAGTTCTTTCATTAATTGAGAAACAAATTCGGAACCATTATCTGATAAGATGCTTTCTGGTAATCCATATTGCATGATAAATTTATATAATTAATGAACAAGTGTTTTAGCGTCGTGATTAGGTATTGGTATGCCATAACAAAATTTAGTTAAATCATCTTGCATCCTAAAAATATATTTATTGCCATTTTCAGTCATCGGTGACGGACCTACTACATCTATTGATGTAGTTGTGATCTCTAAACTTGATTTTATTGGATTTCTGTTAATTTTATTTTCTTGGCAGGACGTACAAGCACGAACTAATTGTTTAATCTTCTTTTTCGTGTGTGTCCATTTATAATTCTCTTTAATACGATGATATGTTTTACGAAAACCACAATGACCCGATGTGCTAAAACAATGATTTTCTTTGAAAATTCTATTTACATCTTCTGGTGAGATGGGTGCAATTTTCTTTTTATCGATTATAGATCATTTCATTAATCATTTCTTGTTTAAAATTTGGATTATACTCTACAGGAATTTTAATAAATAGTTCTTCTTCGTTCTTAATAACTGACTGTTTTAATTTTAGGAGTGAATAGAAGAGATCTTTATAATTCGGGTGATCGAAATAATTTAAATGGATTAACATGAGATAAGTATTTTGGTTATTTTAATTATTGAGTGATATTAAGTCGTATAAGCATGTAGAATTTTGAGATATTTTGTTTAAATCGTGATTTTCGGCGAGATTGTTATAATACGGGTTATTTTCGTGAAAGTCTTTTGAGAATAGAAAAAAATTGGGGTATTTTTTGAAAATATTTTTCTTAATAATTTCTATTTCAATTGGAGTCTGATTCTCATAGTGAAATCGAATTAAATCGTCGTAGGGTAGGCAAAAGTACAATCCGGAATCCCTCTCAACCAGGGATTTAGTAATGCCCCCATTTATTTGGGGTTCATGAATGAGGTTTGGTTGGTTAGTTAGGACTATCTTTGCTGGTCTTGTAGTCTGCTGAAATTTGGAAAGTGTTGTGAGCAATTGTTTGCCCCACTGTGCGAAAAGGGGTCGAGAACTATAGATAGAAAGTTGTCTTTATTTTGTTGTAGAAATTGTATTTACGTTTTCTTTTTCTTTTCTAACCATTAGAAGTTACATTTATAATATTTATTCTATATAATTGCTCTTAACTATGCTTTTTTTAATTCTCTTATGCAATTATCAGCATGCAATGCCTAAAATTTAGAGGTGTTTAGTGGTTTAGGTTTATGTTAGGCAAATATCGAAACTGGTTGTTTATTTTCGTTTTAAAGTTTTAAACATTTTAATTTTGTTGGGACTGGCCTCTTAAGTTTATGCTTATTTATGTTTTATGACGTTCTTACCTAATGATTGAATAATTCACACTGTTTTCAGTAATAATGATAATGATATGATAATATAATCATAATTATTGTTAGGTTTTTGTTACGAATTTGCTTATTAGGCCATGCGATTAATTGGTACTTATCAGATTTTTTCAGAAGATGGCCCCTTCCACTCTAGGCTAGTTTGTTCCTTACATAAGGTGATTCATATTGGCCTAGGGTTAGATCTTCAGGTATGCTGTCATTTACTACTTAATTACTTCCGTGTCCGTATGGTCTTTATTCACTATATTCACTTGTTGGGGTTGCTTTATAATGCACTAATTTAATGTTTCTATTAAGACCTTGGACAACAAGTACACTGATTTTCGTTGTCCAAGTAGTAAATCTTTGCACTAATTTCACCCATTATTCTCCTTAAACTACACTCTATATGAGCGATTTTTATGTTTCCTTAAAACTTATTATTAGATACACTTAAGAGCGATCGAATTCGAGAGCACATTTACTCGACTGGCCGTCTGTATTGGTACTCCTAATTAACATACACTTAAAATTAACATGTAAAAGATAAGTTAATTCTATAGAAATGTATATCACATATTTCATTCACGCCTAAGGGTAACTACACGTGTCCTATACTTAATTATAAGTATACGCCAGGACACGTTTACTTACCCTAATAATATTATAACTGCGAAAGTGTGTGTTACTTCTTCATGCAAAAACTAAACCGATTGTGATAAAACTTGGTATGTAGATAGCTGGAGACCGAAATTTTCACGGTATGGGGCATCACGCGGGTGAAACCGCTAAATGGGCGCCGATGAGGTGCTTGCCTAGGGCGCTCTCGACATTTAATCCGCCTCTGACTATGGCCTAATTGATTCAGGATATCTTCAGTATTCGGTAAGGGGTACGCATCGCCTACCGTAACGTTATTTAACTTCCGGTAGTCAATAACTACGCGCCATTTCTTTTCCTCTGCAGCATCCATTTTTTTTTAACGACCCATAGAGGGCTGTTATAAGGTGATACCGAACTTGAATTTCGTGAGTAATTGCATCGGTACATGTCAAATTATCGTTAGGCAAAAAAATACTTTATTATAGTTTTCGCAAATTTCTAACACGGATTCTTTTTCCTCATCATTTAAATGTCCTAATCTTAAATTTTGATGCAGCAATTTGATTATATTATTTTTATTACTATTAATTGAATTTACAGTAAATACTTTAGCTGTTTCTTGATTAAATTGTTCTAATGTAAGATTTATATAATTGATTTTCATAACTTTATCAGTAATATTTAAAACAGTTGTTAAGGCAGTACCGTCGTCGTTTACAGTTAAAAGCGCTTTAGCCAAATAAACACCTTCTGTTAATTCCAATTCAGGGCTAATACCTTCTTGTATAGAGGGGTTATTTATTTTGACTTTAACGACAGTCTCAGAACGAGCATTTAATAAAAAACAAGACGACTCTGGTTGAGAATTTGAATATCGATGTAATTTTAACGGAAATGGAATTGACCTTATTCTTAATTCGAGTTTTTTTTTCACTAATCTCGAAATCTTCGGAATCTATATAATCGCTACCATCGAATGGTACGTTGCTGGGTTCGCGTATTATTTCAACGGGCGATTGAGTACCTAATCGGGTTAATAATGATTTTTCGTTAGGATTATAATTTAAATTCGTGTTTTTGAGTTTTTGCGTTTTTATCAAAGATACAGTTGCGCCAGTGTCAACTAGGAATTTAAAATTTACTATTTCACCATTTTTATTTAGGTGTGGGAGTACTATGTAATACATGACGTTATCACTGCTTTTATTAAATAGTATTAATTTTACATTTATAGTTTGCATTATCGGTTTACTAGAATTCATTCTAAAATTTTGTTCCGAATTACATGGTTCCTGCGATTTACGGGATATAGTAAAGATTGTGTCCGGATTACGCAGTTTACATGGCTCACGGGAGATTGAAGGATTTTTATTAGATGATTTTGATTTGATTGAATTAGAGGATGTG